AAAAAAAAGTATTTTTTTAATTAACTTATAATCAACAAATTGAGTGGAACAAGCCATTCCATTTCAATTCTTTTATCATTTTCATTTCCTTCTAATTCCTACAAACCCAAACAAAACCTTAGTAAATCCAACACTCTCAGACCTATTTCTCATTAAACAAAATCAAGCAAAAAAGGCCTTTACCAGTTGCGATTAATTAACCGATCAGTAAGTTTAGCAGACAGATGAACTTTTATCAGAATGATTAATATATAAAAAAATCATCATTAATCTACAAACTAGTAGAACTATAATGTTGTAGTAGGCTTTGTTTTGGCTGTCTTGAACCACTTCATTCATTAATGAGAAGTTGGTGTGAATCATATTACATGCCAGATTTCCAAACTTTATGAGTTTGATGGTTCAAAGCTTAATAATAAAATTTGAAAATTAAAGTCAACCAATATTCACATTCAAATTTTGAATAACTAAATCCATCACTTGATATTACATGTTCTCCTGCTGCTAACTACTCTAAAGAACTAATAAAGTTTCGAGAATATTGAGTCTAATTATGATTAAACAAACTATGCTCGTAAATTTATCAAATGATTACCTCAAAACATGCAAATTACAAACTTAAAATTCTGAACTAAGAGTTGACAATTCGAATGCAGCCCACAGTCCACCAAACACTAAGAATGAAATAAAACGATTATAACTGAGCTAAATAAAGATACTAAAAGCATTATTTTTGAAGCACAAAAATTTCCTGGCATGTTCCATTCCAAGTCTTACAATTACCTTACAGGCAATAAATTTTCATGATATAAACCATAAAATACATAGTATTGCCCAAAGAAAGTTTACTTGCCCAACAGAAAAAAACAAACGGGACAATTTTAAGCTTGCCATGCATTTGTGGTTGAAATTTGCAAAGAACTCCACACACTTGGGATTATTTATTGTTCAAAATTATTTGAATCAACCAACTTTAGGTATTGCCATGGTTGGCGGGAGAAGTGTTGAGGAGCTGAGAGTCTCATGAACGACAGAGTTGGAAGAAACAAAAATGGGATTACCTTCTAGTTGCAGCATGATGCACCCGAGCATCTCCTTCAACAACTTCTGAAACTCTTCTTCGTTGACGAGATTCCCTTCGCCGGAATTCACCATCTTCGTTGCCTCGTTCACAACTTCATCCACCTGTAATTTCATGTGGATGGAGATAGTAAGAAATAGTTGGACAATTACTTGAGGGCATTTACATACATACAACTCAATTCTTATGTATTTACATATCTAATGCCTAAACTTTACTTTTTCTTACATTTGTACCACTCAAAATCTTTCTAATCACGTTAAAATACTGCCATTTTAACTTTTTTTTTTTAATGAAATACAACTTTTCATGCATGGATAAGGCGTCATGTATGTAAAAATTAAACTTTAGTTGTTAGATACATAAATACATAAGAATTGAGTGGCATGTATGTAAATCTTCCTAATTTTATTTCTAACTGGTGCGGCACCATGAAGATCGCACAGTAGAGTAGCAGAATAGCAATAGGGAAGAAGAAGCAAGAGGAAATTTTCAGTAATTCAAAAGCAGAATAACAATAATGCCCTCTTCCTCCATGCTCCACGCTCCTCTATAGGAGATACCTGAGTGGCGTAACTTATCTTTAGGCTGACCTAAAGATAAAATAAAATGATTGCGTACTTTTTCTCATCCACAGAACTCATTAACGACAGTTATGAGCAATCATGGATACAATTGAGGTGTTGTCTGGTAAATAGATTTAAGTGGGATCTAACTTAAAAATTGCCAAACAGAAAAAAATGATAAATTTTAAACCTTGAATTTTGTAAGTCCAGTTTCTTCTCAATTTCTCCAAGTTTGTTTAAAATCTTTGATTCAGTAAATCTGAATTTACAATATTTATTAAATTTATTATCAGACAACCCCTGAGTGTGATGTTGGACGTTATCCTTTCAATTAAAGGTCAGCCTCACAGGCCAGGAATAATCACAATAAAGTAAAATAAATAAAAGAAAAGAAACAAGCTCTAATTAGGATCTTATAAAGACGATGCCGCCCATAAAAATAAAAAGTTCGTATTAATGGAAACCTATAGCATCATCTGAAAAGGTTTGAAAATTGAATGACTAGTAGATGATGTGATTATCAAAAAAAGAGTAAGAATGACCTCAGAAACAGCACCATAAGGAGGTAAAGCTGCTGATGCAGAAATTTTATCAAGTGCAATACGCAGGTACTCTGTTGCTGCTTTGTGATGATGATCCTTGGGAAGGTCCTTCCATACCGAATCCAACAACTGCAAAAGCCCCATCGTAAGTCATCATTAATTGTACAATCTGATGAAATCCTTCCACCTTTTTTTTTTTAATCCTAGAACAAGACTGTTAGTAACAAAAGCCTGCTTGGAGAAACATTCTGATGTAATTATTCAATTAGATGCACAATTTATATTAAAGTGCCAATTACCTAGGGTCATTTTAGTCCTAGAGTTTATAAATAGATACTTTTCTAGTTTGCAAGAATTCTTAGGCGACTTTTAGCTACAATGTGTATTTACGTTACATAGGATTTATAAAATCTAGTAAATCCGGGGGATGGAGCTCGCGAAGGATGCAGTTGAGCAATGGCAGGATAAATCCTCTGCACAATTGGATTTATTAAATCCGGATTTATGTCATAAAAAAGACAGAAAGCGAGTGAAAGAGAAGGAACGTGGAAAAATGATCTAGCGAAGTGTGGGCTTTAATTTTCATATTTTCTTTCCTTCTAAAACTGTGTTAGCAAACACACCCTTAATATGATCACAGATGTTATCTAGTGTCCTGGTGGGGGTTTACTCAATCCACAAAGGATATATGTTTTCAATACAATAAAGAGAGATTAATCCAATCCATGCAGCCTTCCATTTCAGTGCAAAAAGGCTATATTCGAATTTTGATGGCATGACCTCCTCAACCTCGTAGAGAATTGAAAAACAATGATTTTATACCTGCTCATTAAATGGTTTAGCATCTAAAAATAGAATTTTGTCACCCACGCCCATGATTATTGATACACTATCAACATATTTTTATCATCTAGCATGAATCTCGAGGTAATTTTTTTAGCAACAAACATTCAAACTTCAATTAAGAGTCGTCCGGAGCTCCGATTCCAGCAAACTTATAGTCAAACTGGCCAGCTTGATAAGACAGACTCAATGATTTCAAAATTAGGTCAATCCAAGTCAAATCAAGCGCAGCTCAAGTCATTAAACCATTCTTGCAGATTTCTGAATATATTTAGAAGCTCAAATGAATGCAAAATCTAGCAAGTTTATAATTGAATCGGACTTCTCGACAAGACGAATCCAGGAAGCCCAAGATCGCTCAATTTCGACATTATTAAGACACTAAAATGTCTATCAAATATCGTCTGATTAAAGAAGGCTCTCCAGACCGTCCGATCAAAGCGATTCATATTCCTTCCTTTATTGTTCCTAGAATACTATAAATAGAGTCACACCCCTCTCATGAGGAGGAGGAGCTCAAGATCGCTCAATTTTGACTTCTTAAGACACTAAAATGTTTATTAATCATCGTGTGATTAAAGAAGGCTTTCCAGACCGTTCGATCAAAGTGATTCATATTCCTTCCTTTATTATTCTCAGAATACTATAAATAGAGTCACACCCCTCTCATGAGAAGGAAGAGAGCTTGAGTCTTAAGAAAAAGTTTGAAACTTTGAGAAGGAGCTGGAGTACAGCACCACTCATGCCTCCGATGGTTGTCATGGACCACCGATAACCGTCATCGATCATCTTCGACCACCGCCGACTACCACCTGCCAGCCTTCACCGATCGTCATCGGTTGTCGCTCACTTCTTGCAACCAGTTAATTCGGATGTCGGCATTATAATTCAGAAAACTTTGTAACCCTTTCCCGTTTGTAGGACAGGAGATCCTGTAATCATCATTAACTTATAGTGAATTTTTACAACCGTGTTAGGTCTCGTGATTTTTTCCCTTTACGGGTTTTTCACGTAAAAACTTATGGGGTCACAACTAATTATTTTTTTTATCTGAGTGTGTGCAGAAAAATCATGCAACGTTAAGAATATAATCCATTACTCGATCACTGCGAATTTTCTAGCACACATCAGTTTGACACCGTCTAAGGGAAGCGAAGTCCCGCTCAGCATTGTCTTCAACTCTAAGGCACCGAGCTCCTATTTTGTTTTCCAACGACGTATATCATCCAATTAACAAAGGAACCTCTTCTACATCATGAACATCATCTCCGAAGCATTCTTCAATGTGATGGGCAACATGCATTGCATTCTCAAAATGTCGTTCACGTTAACGTTCTGGGCATGATTGTAGTTTGGTTGTCTTCTCATATCTTATTCAGACACAAAGTCTTTCACAACTTCTTTCAAGCTGGGAGGCAACCTTCAATGTAATCTCGAAAGATAGTTTAAGTTAACATCCTAGGCACGACTATGGTAGGGTAGTCATCCCACATTTCGTTCAGACAACAAGGCTTTGAAAATCGCTTCTAGACGAGGTGTAATCTTCATCGCAAATAACACTTCCTCGGTGTCCCTCACCATACTAAAGTTATTATTCAACTAGATCAAAAAGCTGATCTCTTCAATGCTCGATACATGTGTTGTTTTACAAGCTCTAATGGCAAACGCCCCCGCTGGGGAGCAAATGATTCAAAAGCAATAACTAACGAGTTGTCAAACATTATTCTTAAGTAAGACTGCAACCATATTTTCAAGAAAACATACGGTTCATTGCGACCCAAGCCCTAGTCTAGAGAAATGCAGAGCATCTCTGACATCTCATTCTAAACTTAATCGATCTCAGGGTGACTCGATTTGACCACTTTCATTACATTAAGCAGTCGTCAAGAAAAAGCTTTGACATGCAAACTTAGAAAGGTAAAAAATTCTTGGTAGATCTCCTTCGACATCTTTTATAGCAGGTTACAGTTGTCAAGCAAAAGCTTCGAACAACAACCTAGAATAGATAAATCATCCTCAGTGGATTTCATATGACTTTGTCTGTTAAAGGTTAATGCCATCGAGCACCTCCGATTATACAACTCAGAACTGATTTTACATCCTTAATGAATTCTCCTTCCAACCATGCCCCTGGAAGACGAATCCAAGAGGCAAATTTCGACAAGAAGCTTGTAGTGGACGGGGTCTTTACTAGAAAGACTCAAAGAGAGAAAGTAGTTGAGAAGGTCTCCACTGAAATACCTCAGAATGCTACAAGCATGGAAGGCACAGGTTCATCAAAGACCTCTATAAGCCGCAAAAGACACAGATACCTCAAAGATCTCAGAAGACTACAAGCCTCAGAAGACACATGTACATAAAAGGCCTTAAAAGTAAAGCTTCTATAAGACATAACCTTGGAAAACACGAGCCTCAAAATTTACGCGATTCTCAATTTTATAAGGTATGTGTGCTAACTTTAACTGTAGAATTTCATATGATTGAGAAGTCACAACAACCACAAAAGTAACATCAAAGATGTATAAAGAAATACATGAAAAGACTATAAAAAATAACTAGAACTGGTATAAAAGTTCTAGAAGATATTGCCGCTACAGAAGTATGAAAATCTCTCCCTCAAACGGTGGCGGAAAAACTCTAGCATTTCTTCATCTCAATCGAAAAGCGAAACAGCAACAAGCAAGAAGATATTGAGACACCTGTTGGGCATGGATGAAGATAACTTTCCTCATCTCCCCGATGTGAAAGAAGATCTGATTGATCACCTTCTACGCAGGATGAGAACAAATTTCTTCTACGCCTAAACATGAAAGAGGACCTGTTGATCTCCTTCTACCAAGAATGAGATGACTTTCCTCTTTGCCTCAACATGAAAGAATATCTCATTTCTCGCTTGCTACGTAGGACGTAGACGACCTTACTCTTCAGCGCAATGTGAAAGATCCCGTTGCTCGCTTACTAAGCAGGACGGGGATGAATTTTCACTTAGTCATAACGTGAGAAAATATTTCATTGTTTGTCTGCTACACAGGATAGGAACAATTTTCCTCTTGGCCGCAGTACGAAAGAAGATCTCATTGTTCGCCTACTATGCAGGATGGGGGCGACTATCCTCTTGACCGTAACACAAAAGAAGTCCAGTTGCCCGCCTGCTACGCAGAACGGAGATGACTTTCCTCTTGACTGCAATGATAAAAAAGATTTCGTTGCTCGTCTGTTACACAGGACGGGAATGATCTTCTTCTTCTGAAAATCGCGCTAGCAGTAGGCTCCACTTTCCAATTTTCCTCATTTTTCTCCTTCTTCTCCTCACTTCTGGTTTTTTCTCTCATCCATGAGTTCTATTTAAAAGCTTAAGAGAAGACCTAGCAATCAATGCAATTATTAAAAAAAAAAAAAATCTTCATTCATGGTGTCTTTACGACTACTAGTTTTTAGTTTTCCAGCTTCCATTTGATGGCCTTCCAACTTACTCATTCAAATAAAAAAATAAAAAAAATTCATATTTTCACCTTTTAGCCTTCCAAAATCCCTAAAAAAGGGGGCAGCCATTTAAAAAAAAATTAAAATTTGTATTCTTTCTATCTTTCCAGCTTCCCACTTTTGAGCTTCCGACTTCAAACTTATGACCTTCTAAGTTTCCTCATTTTAAATAAAAAAAAAATTGAAAATCTTTCCGACTTTTTAGCCTTCCAAATTCCGTAATAAAAGGGCAGTTGTTTAAAAAAAATTAAAATTTGCATTGATTATGTACTTTCGGCTTCTAGCTTTAGCCTTCTTGCTTCCTCATTTCAAATATATAAAAAAAAAATTGAATTTCATTTCACGTTCTGAATTCGTGTCGGTCCGCCCTCCATCTTTCTACCTTCCTAAGAATTAAGTGGTATGAATTTAAATGCCGAATTTTGTCTCTTTTCCTCCAACCATGCGTTTCCAAGCCAGAAAAAAAATTTGTTAATTCTTTGGCTCACTAAGGAATTCAAACAACGCAAACGCATAAAAAGCAAAGTACCAGTTAAGCCAGAACATTCTTTTTAAACAAACATATGTCTTATTTACTCTTAAACTAAACATTAACATTTATATAAGTATACACACACACACCTATATATTTACTTATTTATAAATGAATATATAACAATAATAAAACTATCCAGATTTTGATATTTTCGGATGACAAAATTAGATTCGTCTAAAAATAAGAGGACAACTGGTATGCCACAAACAAATTTTTATCACCTAACACGAATCTCGAGGCAATCTTTTGAGCAAGAAACATCCAAATTTTAATTAAGAATCATTTAGAGCATCGATTTCAACAAACTTATAGTCAAACTGACTTACTCTGTGAGACAAACCTAATGATATCAAAATTAGTCTAATTCGAGTCAAATCAAACTCAAATCAAGTCATTAAATCACTTTTGAAAGATTGTTGGACATATTTAGAAGATCAAACAGATGTCGAATTCAGTAAGCCTATAATCAAATCAAGCGTCTAGACAAGACGAGTCTAGCGAGCACAAAATTGCTCAATTTTGACATGCTTAATACACTTAAATATCTATCAAACGCTGTCTGCTCGAGAAAAATTCTCCGGACCGTCCAATCAGAGTGATTCATAGTCATAACTTACTTACATCCAGAACATTATAAATAGAAGCACATCCCTCTAATAACGGGAAGGAGAGCTTGAGACTTAAGAAAAAAATTAAAAATTTGAGAAGATGTTGAAGTCCAGCACAACCATTGACCGCTGCCGACCACCAACAATCATCGCCGACCAACATTGACCACCGCTGATTGCCGTTGATAACCACCTGTCGGCATACACCAATCTCCATCAGCTGCTGCCCACTTCTTACAACAAATTTATTCGCATGTCGACCTTGAATTCAAAAAACTTTGTAACTTTTTTTCATCTATGGGACAAAAGGTATTTGTAATTATCAACTTAAAGTGAATTTTTACAACTAGGCCAGACCTAATGTTTTCTTTTTTTCTTTTTACAATTTTTCATGTAAGAAATTATTGTGTCACTACTGGTTGTTTTCTTTTATCTAAATATGCATAGAAATCTTGTGCAATGCTAAACCGATAATTTATTATTCTACTGTTGTAAATTTTCTGGCAACCTCCCGAATCTAAATATGCATAGAAATCTTGTGCAATGCTAAATCGATAATTTATTATTCTACTGTTGTAAATTTTCGGGCAACTTGATGGAGGAAACCTAACAAAATAATAAAAAAAGAAATAACAATCAACTAATGATGTAAAGAAGTGACAGACCTTGTCCAACTCAAATTTATTAGCTAGCAACCTCCTAATGCCACTTCCATTGAAGGTGTTCTCACTGTGGGCGACAATAACGGGGCGTTGCTGAAGGCTTTCAACGATGACACGGATGAGCTTTTTGAAGTACTCCAAAAAGGCCTCTTGAGAAGCAGCCCTTTCAAGATCTTCAACAGGGAAGGATTGCAGAGCAGGCTCCACAACATTACTCGAAACCTAAAATAATATAAAAACAAAAAAACAATCATTAAAATGGACCGCTCAACGGATCAAAATCACAGCACAGTTTCAACAAAAGAGTAACATTCTCTAATATAACGTGAATCGGACATTTATCACATCAAATTATATAGATATCAAGTTCGGCTTTCAGTTACCCATTCATCAGAAGTCGGCGGCATGCCGTTCTCCACCCTGATCTGTCTCAAACCCGCTGTCAAACACTTTCGCAAACTAGCACCGGATGATTCAAACGCAGAGAAAATGGCTAAGGCCTCTGTTTCATATTTGGAGCTCTCCACAAATTCTCTGAGATCCTTGCCATCAATCCTCAGTATAACAATTGGATCCCTCTTAAGCCCCGCCGCAACACCCAACAGAATGTCCGATAGCACTTTCTTGAACTCAGACTTGCTCACTCTCTCTTGCTTTCCATGCGTAAATTCACTCAACACCTTAAACCAACAACGAATTCAGCCATTGATCAAAGAACCGATTAAGTGAGATTTAATTGAAGAGACGAATTAGGGTTTATACCAACCTCGGTGTAGATGTGATCGGACTCAGGGGATGAACCGACGGCTGGAAGGCCCAGAGCGGAGCCGATGTCGGCGACGACGGGCTGGAGTTCGCGCACGGAAAGCTTACCATCATGGTCTCGATCGAGCTCCTCAAACTTGTGCTCCACGAAGCTGCTGAAGGCTTCCTTGTCTCCGACCAGTTTCTCTATCTCCGATCCGTCAACGACTAACTTCTGGGCGGATTTCTTCCTCCAAAACCATCCGCTTGCCATCTTCTTCTTCGGTAACTTTCGTCAGATTGTTCCTCTAGGTTTTTTTGTCGCAACAATGTGAGATTGTGTTGCTGCAGAAGGCGGGATTTAATATGGGGACGGCGGTGGTGGGTCTTCAGCGGGGAACGGAGGGTAGTATGGGCTAAAGGGGAGGTGGCGGGAAACGTGGCCGCGTGGGAAGCAGAATCCGGAGCGCTTCTCTTATTTAATTTTTTTATTGTTCAAAATATTACATACATACCGTACAATATATGTATTTATATATTTAGCGTCTAAATATTGACATTTATTTTGATAACTTTTTATATGCATGTACATGTTTATTTCACTTTCAAATAGTTGGTAATATTAAAATATTGAGTGCTTCAAATAAAAAAAAAAAATCAAAATTTAGGTATTAGAAATCTAAAATCTTATGAATTATTTGGTATTTATGTAAATGGACTCCATAGCACAAATTAAATTAAAAAAAATTTAGTTGTTTATCATTTAGTTCAACCATAACACTATGTTAATCAGATGGCATAATGGTGTCTATTATATTGTTATTTAAATATATATTTACCCTTTTTATTGTTCATACCATATGTCCCATGCTTTAGTGTTTATATTTCAATCAGTAGATTTGACCTACTAATTTTATTCTTACTCTTCATTAACACATACTTATTATATTATGAACTTATGATATTAATTGTGCATCACAAGTGTATATATACTCATACTTCAGGTATATCCTTGGGAATTGATTAAGGTTAATATATTTGGTCAATTTAATATTTATTTGATCCTAAGATAAATTATTAAAATAATTAACTTATATTTATACTTTGGTGAAAAAAATTGTTAGAGATACTCAATTTAGATTGTCTTATATATGATCACATTATAGGACAAATACTTTGAGCCTGTGTTAATATTGGTAGAAATTACTTTTAGATTTATCAACTCAACAAGCCTTTTTTGGGCTCCTATGTTGCCCTTCTAAGCCTAGAGGATAGGCTTTGAGACAATATGCTCTATCTCTCAAGCTAAATATCATAAATTGACATGCAAATAATTAAGAGGTTGGGCTTTGATACATTTGATACCCATGGGTGAATTTAATTCTATAAAGAATTTATCAACTGTGAGATAACCTAATAGATTTAAACTTTTAAACTTAGCTTCGTCCTTAACTTAGTAAGCCAACATGATCCATTTTAAACTCAATGAAACCTATTGGAATTATGATGGACCTCCAGCTTCATGGATCTTCTTGAACTCTAAAAAGCTCTAATTAGTTTGAGCTAGATTGCACTAGAGTTGAACTTAAATTAGTTAATTAGCCTAACATTTGACCCAGTTAACCTCATTAAACTACCTAAGTAATTTTGATATTGTCGAATCCAAATTGATTGGACCTTTAGCTTTATTAGGAATGACTTAAAAAAGTGATGCATTCATTAATGAGAATAATAAAAATGGATAATTAAATGCATGACACCTTAAATATTGTTATTTACAAAATATAGCACAGGTGATGATTTTGAATATCGAACTGATTTACGTATGTGTGTCATGATCAAACTATTGGGAACTTGATAAATGAAAAATATGGGCACATGAAATTTGAAATTTGAGTGAGATTTTGAAAAACGGATGAAAAAATAGGCTAGATTTGTAAAAAGCAACTTTAATGTGAATAAAAAGCTAAAAGTTATTTGTTATGACCTAAAAAATACATTTTTTTAAAAAAGAGTGAATTATCCATAACCAATAAAAAAAGGCAACTTGCGGTCATTATAAGCTGCCCACCACCCATGCACAGTTTGTTGTTACCTATCCAAAACGGCACAAAAAATAAAATAAAATAATTAAAAAAAAAAACGCACATGGCAATATTGTCCCTATTTTATGGTTTAAGGCCATAAAATATGCTTCCGAAAATGATTATATTCATAAGATTCATTATTTGTACATTTAAATATTAATATTCACATGCACAAATGGGCATTAATGCAATAATTACTTGTTTTAATTTTTTTTTTCTAATACTTAGAAAATAAAAATAAAAATAAAAGCATGAGTTTAGGGAATGCACGAATTTCATAAAAACAATAGAAACTATCAATAGAAATATGAGTTTTGAGTGGTATATGTATGTAAATATGAAAGTTTAGATGGGAGATATGTAAAAACAAAAGAAGTGTACCGTGTATGTAAATTTCCCTAGAAAGTATCAATAGAAATATAGAAGCGTCCAAAGGCTGAACTAGGGGTGGAAGCTAGCTGGTTAACAAGTTCACAAGTCGAGCTTATTGAGCCACGGGCTTGAGCTTATTCTGACTTGACTCATTGGTTGCAAGCCAGCTTGATTAGCTCACAACTAGTCATTTTGATGAATTTTATGACGAAACCACCATGATGCCTCCTCATCTTTCTTTAGCCACCAAAATCTTCTCCGACGAGTTCCCATGAAAAATGAGTTTTTTGATTGAGCTTTCAAGTCGAACTCATGTTTGTCATTGCTCGAGCTTGACTCGAATCTTTTGCAGCCCTAAAATGGACTGTAATATTATTAATAAATTTATGATAATTATTTTGAATATTAAATAGTACAATTTTAATCTATATGTAACAAAATTCGAAGATATTGATCAATAGTAATACAAAAGGTTTAATGCAAAATCATAAATTATTTTAAGCGCCATTTAATTTCTTATAAAATTAGTGTCAAAATTTACAATTTAAACCTTGCTTATATTAAATTTATGTCCCGTCACCCATCATTCCTGCAAAGAATAAAACAAAATAAAACAAAGAAAGAGGCAGCACTAAAAAACAGGCATACAATATCTTTAACAGTATGTCTACTAGTTTATATTATCATTTTCTTTAAAATGAATAATTAGTTCACAGGCCCTTCAATAAATAATAATTTAGATTATTTGAATATATCCCTATTATTTCTTTAAATAAAATATTTTAGTAAGCTGAAATAAAAGGATGCATAGCAGAAAAACGGACCATCAGGGTTTTGTGGTAGTCACGACCTACCACAAATTTACTTAAGTTGAACATAAAGCATGTTAATGCAGGCTTAGACTTCAATAAAGAGGTTTTGGGTTCAAGACATGCATATGCATTATATGTTTGTGATTAAATTCACTTAATTGTTCCGAAAAATGTCAATGAACCATCTAATTTGTTACATATTGAGGATATATCTTATTTCAAGAAAAATTCCATACTATTAAGAGTGAATTGCTTGCCACCTCATCTTAGAAGCCTCCAAAAGAAGTATCATGACCCTCCTTTGGCATACGCAAGGCCAATCCCCACATAGCCCAAGGAAATACACATTTTTTGCTGCCTAGGGTAGGTTGTCATGTGAGAATCCTGAGGAAAAGTTGAGCTTAAATTAGCTTGGCGCTTAGGCAAGGAGATTTTGGCGCCTAGGCACCGCGATTCTGGCGCATAGGCGCTCTTGTGTTTGGCCTAGGCACCGCGATTCTGGCGCATAGGCGCTCTTGTGTTTGGCCTAGGCACCGCGATTCTGGCGCATAGGCGCTCTTGTGTTTGGCCTAGGCACCGCGATTCTGGCGCATAGGCGCTCTTGTGTTTGGCCATTGGGGACTAGGCACTGAGAACTGGTGATGGGTTTATGGGGGCTCGGTTTCAAGCTGTTATTTTTCAACCTGGATTGGGGGCCTAACGCCTACTTTCTCGCTCCTCGATTTGAAAACTGTGTTTCAGGTAGCTTTAGTCGCCTACTTTCTAGTGGGTCGGTGCCTAGGCATTGGGCCTGACACTTAGATATCAAGGAGCTGGCATCTACTTTCCATTGGTTTGGCTTTAAGCCATGTGACCTAGGCGCCCAGACAGGCACATAGGCACCCTGGTTTGGCTCCTATGCGCCAATCTAGCTCTAAAAACACTGGAAACGTTTGGAAAATAATTTTTTAAATCTAAAAGCTATGAGAGATCAAATATAACTAAAATAAAGTCTCAAAACCTCTGAGATGAGTATTTTTAAGGGCATTACCAAATAATTCTGACGCCAATTGCGCCCCGAATCACTTAACAGGTACAACATTCTAAACCCTAATCTTTGTGAAAATGCCCACAGATCCTTGATGGGCTCTTTTGACCACGAGAGATTCCATATGAATATATGAAGGTCTTTAAACAACATGATGAACATCAAACAGTTGAATGAAATTACATAATGGTGGATTCTCCCGGGCAATGTCAACTAGTCGCAGACCCTGATTTTATTACACGAATACGCATCGGGGGGACTAGACGAATGTCTTAAGCTACTAGACATTATGAATGAACAGTTGATCACCTGAATCATTCATGTGGACACCCTACACACGTGACATCAAAAATTGATGCCAACAAACATCCCAAACAAATGACATCAAAAAGTGATTCAAAAATGGTGTAACAACGTACCAAAAATATGGTGCAACAATGCACCCCACAATAACTACTACAACTATTGTGCTTTGAATATGTGCCCTTCTCCAAACTCATGAAGTTCTCTCCTCACAACTTACCACTATGAAATGTGTGAACAACTACAACCTACGTGGTACACTACTCGTATAGCTCTCAACTTCGGCCTCTATGGCCTACCTGCGCTATCTCAGCTAATGCAACTCCCTACTAGAACATAGGTGGTCGATTGATGCTTCTAAAGCAACCATCTACGACCCCACATGACCAACTAATACCATGACTTTCAACTATGATTCATATGACAAGTTGACGCTACAACCACCATTTATAATTTCCACAACAGATCATTGCCTCAATATCAATTGACTGCGACATTTGTGGCTCGTTAAGACTATTATTGTTGAAATGTCGTTGTACATCAACTTTGTAATTGTTTTTCCCAAACTCTAGAGAAGAGTGAGTCTTTGTACTACTCGTTATATATTGGATTAGTTCAAATGTGCTATGTTTTTTTTGTTCTTCGCCCTTTCGGGAGTTTTCTATGTAAAAAGTTTTGGTGCCTCTACTTGTCACTTTAATTACCTAAGGGGGTGGTTGGTAGCATACTAATTATGGGATCTAGCCATGGATTTAACTTAAATCCCTCCAAATATTAAAAAAACAAAAACTAAATCCAACGCTCCGTTAATTCAAAATCTCTCGTGTTTCATCCATCTCACAACATAAATT